CCACTCCACGCTGCCCAGCCCCCCCAGCCCTCAGAGCGTGCCAAGCGGTGCTCTGGCCCTGGGCCCTTTTGAATGGGGTAGGGAAGGGCTGGGGCTGCTTCCCCAGCCTCCCTTGGGTACCTTGATCTTGCTCCCAGCTGTGGTGGGGCGACCTTTCTTCTCCGCATTGATGTTCTCAGGGAAAAGGTCTCGGATAAAGGGGCTAAGTGGGGAGGAAAGGTAATTAAGCCAGTGCCCAGAGGGGTAGGGAGGTGTGGGGAGGGGCGGACTGAATGGGGTAGGGAAGGGCTGGGGCTGCTTCCCCAGCCTCCCTTGGGTACCTTGATCTTGCTCCCAGCTGTGGTGGGGCGACCTTTCTTCTCCGCATTGATGTTCTCAGGGAAAAGGTCTCGGATAAAGGGGCTAAGTGGGGAGGAAAGGTAATTAAGCCAGTGCCCAGAGGGGTAGGGAGGTGTGGGGAGGGGCGGACTGAGAACGGAGCCTTTTGCCCTGGCTGTGACCATCTAGAGGCCAGACCAGAAGCAACCCAGCCTGGGGTGAGTGCCACCCCACCTGCCCCGGCCCGTGAGGGCCCCTCAAAGACAGGGTTATTGCAACAGATACGTAACTCAAAGCCATGAAAATATTCAGCCCCTACCAGCTTCACGTCCTAAAGTAGCAGAACTGGGCCTAGAATCCAGCAATGCCAGCTCCCAACTGCCCCATTCTAACCCCCAGACTCCAATCCCTTCCCGGAGCCAGCGAGAGAACCCAGCTGTCCTGCCTCCCAGCACTCGCCCGCAGTCCCCTCCCAGGGCCCGGGAAAGAGCCCAGGAGTCCCATCTCTGGGCCCCTCAGCTCTAACCACTAGTGCGCGCTGCCCTCCCGACCCAGGGAAGCAACACTCACAGCTCACTGCTCTGCATCAGCTCGATGAGGTCGGTGAAGAGCACGTCACGGTTGCGCTCACAGAATCCCTCCACGTCATAGGAGACCTGAGGGCCGGAGAGCTGGGATCTCAGGCAGCAGCCCCCTGCCCCCGAGCTGGCGTGCTGGGGGCATCCTCACACGGCCCTGCCTGAGGGGAATGAGCCCTCCCCGGCACATATCCAACATCCCCCCAGAGGGGCCCTACCCAGAGCCAGGGACCGTGCCCCCCTCGCCCCATCCAAAGACAAGACATGCCCCTCCCACCTCATCCAAAAGGACTAGAAGATGCAGCTAGTGGGGCAAAGCCCCAGGCCCCCCCATCCCACACCCCAAGCATGACAAGCTCCCCAACCCTCAGCCCCTTGCCCTCCAACCCAGCCTCCTCTTCTACCCAAATCTACCCCTCTCCCAGACCCCCTCACAGAGCCCTCCCCATCTACTCCTCCCCCAGCCTCCCCTTCTACTCAAATCTACCCCGAGACCCCCACCCTAATCTACCCCTCC